CCTCTTCTGGGCCTGTGCCCGTTCCTGTCATTGTTTCGCCCGCGTATAGAATCTTCTGCAGCATTATCTTTTATTTAAAATCAAAGAAGTGCATAAATGCTTGTGGGTTCGGCCCGAATAGCCTAGTACTTTATGTTTCTTTTTATATAATTTGTGCGGGCGTTCACAGCCGCGCGCCAGCGCATAGACTTTTCACGCACGGATGCACAAGGGGAAATCCACTTAAAAATTCCAGCTTGCCAATAGCCCGCAGGTAGAGTAGTTCTAGGCCTATACTGCAAAATCATTTACAGTGAATAGTGCGTCTCTTTTATTTCACCACAGCATGCAAGCCTGTATGCTTTCAGGCGCAGCCTTCAGGTGTGCGCAAAGATATTTCAGAAAACTGTTGCTTTCTAGAAGCAGGCCGAGCGGTTGCCTTTTGGCGTTCGCCACCTCGCACAGGCAGCTTTCTTCCAAAGGCCGAACTCGAATAGCCCGAAAATGTATACATGTTTGTTTTTCTTTGCTTTTATTTTTGTGCAATGCCAGGAGAGCGCTAAGAAACAAATTTAAATAAGCTTTAGCGGTGGCTCAGCCTATTGCACGCGTGATATGCCGCCTGGGCGCTGCATTGGCAGTGCCTGTGTGCACCGGCGATTTGCAGGCGGTGTGCCCAGCCGTGTGGCTTTTTTGCTTTTGTTTTTGTTTTATGGAGGTAGCACCCGATTTTGGCGCGGAAACAGAGGCTGTGTGAAATAGACATGCTAACGCGTCAAATGATGTTTATAAGCCGCGATCAATTGATCGATGTATAATGCATAGATAGAAAACAATTTTTATTCGGAGATGCGATTGTGCTTTGGAGTGCTATTATGCGGACTTCTTGCAGTGCAGATAGCAAAATGCATATACATGACGCAGAATGAGATGCTGGCGTGCAAAATCAAGCGCGTGGGCCGCATGGGCGGAAGGCCCGTGTATGTGAGCCCGTGCTGGGGCGGGCACCCGGTGTGCATAGCGCAGATTTGCCGGCTGGGGTATGTGTACAAAATGCGGGCGCACTCGTGCATGGTGAACACAAGCTTCAGTCTGTTGCCGGACAGGCACTTAGACGAGCATACGTATACGAGAGAGCCGGAGAAGGACGAGCTGCATTCGGGAATGGTTACTAGCGATGGTAGATACAGCGTAAAGTTCCACAGGGCGCTGCTGCAGATGTTTGGGCTGCGGAAATCTAGCGGGCCGGAGTACGACTGCGTGACAGTTGAGTGCGCGCGACCAGGCTCTTTTATTCAGCTCCTCCAGGAGGGCTGCAAGACGCAAAAAGAGGCGCACTATGTGCTGGCAGCGCTGCTGCTCCTGAGCGAGGGCGTGGACGTGCCGATTGAGCTGGCTGAAGACAGGGTGACTATAAGAAAAAGAAAAGGCATCAATGTGGTGCTAGTTAACGCCCACGTGGGAGGGGAAGCTTTAGGAATCAGGAAAGGGCAGCTTTCCGAGACTTGGCAGGTGATAAACTTCTTCAAGCGGTACAGAGACACACACAAAATGCCGAGCACGTACGAAGAATTTGAAAAGGGCGACTTTCTGGAGAGCCCGCAGCTCCTTATTCTCACGTACATAGGCGAGTACGTGAAAAACGCCGAGGAGCTTATGTCTGTGATGGGGTGCGCATTTAAGCTTGTGGAGGGCATGGGCTTAGCAAAGAGCCTGGAAGACCCGGACAGCGTGGCCAGCCGGCTGTTTGTGCCTGCGAGCCGTCTGCCCAAGGCGCAGGCGTATCTCACGCCGTTTCTAGAGACGTTTCCTGCTTTAGCGGCCTTGGAGCGCTTTGAAGAGTTTAAGTGCTTTCAAAGCGAAGCAGAGGCACAGAATAAAGCAGAAAATGCCTCAGGCCGAGAGAAGAGATGCTTTGGCGAGCACGGTACGAACAGCAGGTTTATTGGCGGGTGCTTGCTCTTGCCGTTTCTTGCGTTTGACTCTGAAAACTACGGATACAGCCTGAAGGGTCTTCTGCGCGGGGCCGAGAAAACGGAGGAGGTGGAAAAAACCAGGGCGTTTTTTGGTGAGCTGCAGGCGTGCATTGAAAAAAAGTGCTGCTCTTTCGGGCTTCCCAATAACAGACAACAGCAGAGGTACAGGGACCTGTGGGTCAAGATGAACACGCAGTTTAAGGAGGCGCTGGGGAATGCAGCGCCGACGCTTTTAAACCAGATGCGCGTGCTTGCGCAGATGGCCGGGCGGCGAAAGGCCGTGATGGACGAGCTAGCAGCGCACCAGGCGGCGATGGACGCCAAAAGAAGCACAGAGTTGACCCCCGAGGCAATTGAGAGCGTTCGGGCACTGCTTCGCTCGATAGCAGTGGACAAGCGCGTGAAAGTGGCCATTCAGCCGCAATTGGATGGTTCAGAGCCTGAAGGCTATCTTCTTACAGTAAAGTATGTGAAAATAGGCGCATTAGTTGGCTGGCAAATTCTAAAGCTGACATTCAGTAAAAAAGGCTTCTGGAGGATATGTCTGGGAATGCCACTCTTGAGCGCTTCTGACAAATTGCAGAAGAAGCTGGACGTGGTGTCCATGAAATACCGGCAGCCTGGGCGGTTCTCAAGCTTTGTGCTTGCGGAGTGCATGCACCAGATGGGGATAGGGGCAGCCGCGCAGAGCTCTTCATATGCAATAACCAATGCGCTGCGGGAGGCCGCGAGAAAGGCTGTCGAGCACAGTGCAGACAAGCCGAATAGAGTGCTTTTAGCGCTGCCGGTTGCGGGCAAGGACATCAGAAAAGAGCTTGTCTCTGCGCTTGTGCTGTATTCCGAGCAGAAGAAGATTGCGCTGACTCCAGAACACCCAATAAGCCGGCTGGCTGCAAACGTGATAGGGAGCATCGACCTTGGCGACTTGGCAGCGCAGTGTAGGGTCTTGGGAGTGTTTTTGGTCACCGGGACTCTGCATAAATTGTGTCCGACGGTGCAGCTTGCCAAACAGCTGCATCAGGATATTTGGTGTTCGCAGAGTTGTGCCGACTATAACGAGCTGTATCCCGCAGAAGAGGCGCGCATGCTTAGATACAAAAGCATAATGCAATATTTCCGGGAATACGCTGTGAGAACAGGCAAGCCGCTGTACATGTGCGAAATGCTGAAAGATGCTGCTGAAGGATTAGTCTATTGCATGTTGATGTCTGCGGACAATCCGTGGGAAGCGCTAGAAGAGATCTGCGTGCTGTTGCGGGCAGAGCACGCGGGGGAGGATTTGCAGAGGGCTGAGGCTCTGATTGCGCGGCTGCAGCAGTCCTGGGAGGAAAACTTCCAGAATAAGAGGCTGCCAAAAATACAGTGTGAGACTTCCGCCAGAAGTATGTTGAGCCAGAAATGAGTGGATGCAGGAAATGCTCCAATAAAAAGAGCGCTTTTTTCTGCGCTCACTCTCTAAAATATGTTGGTGTGCAGCCAATAAACATGATCCATTAGACACACTTTTCAGCGTGCAGCGCGGAGGAAGAGGCGGAGCTTTTCAAAGCTTTGGCTGCTTTGCATGTTTTCTGTGCGTTTCGCCTATTTTCGGAAAATTCTTTTTGTGCTTTTTCTGCCTAGCGCCAAGTGCAGACAAAACTCTGTATTTGGACAGGGCTCTTTTGTGGATCTCTTCTGTGCGCCCAGCAACGTGCCTTGGCACACGCTTTCGTGCCCGAGCTGCGCGACAGCTCCTGCTGTTTGGCGACTGGCTGAGGAATTTTTATTTTTCTTCTTGCAAGCCTTTGGAAGGAAACAGGTGAAGGTGCGTTTCGTTTCCTTTTGTGCGCTATGCCTGCAAGCCCCGAAAAGACCGTGAGTTCCGCCGGGCACTGGAGGCGGGTGTGCACAGGGAAACAATCAATAAATCATGTGGCTATATTTTTCTGTTGTTCTTTGGAGAAGCAGTGGGTCAGGAGAGGGCGAGCACCTTATCACCCTGCACCTTGTTTCGGGATACTGCTTGTTTAGTGCAGTTTGTGCACGAAGTCAGGAAGAAGGAGAAAAGAAGAAAAATAAAGTGAACAAAATATAGTGTGCCTGTACGGGTTGGTAGGAAAAAACTAGAATGAAGAATTTATTTTTTGGAGTATATAGCAGTGTATAGTAAAAAAGAAAGAAGGAGCACACACGCGCAGGAGGAGACTGCGAGAACAGAGCTGGAAGGGCGCATTGGCGCGGGGTGTGCATCCACAGTGTCAGTGCGAGAGCGTATGCATAAAGAGGCGCGAGCAAGGGCGCAACACACAGAATAGATCGGGGAATGGCCTTGAAAGCATCATTCGGGCACAGTGCAAGCACAAAACAGCAGTGCAGAGCATGCGGTGCCACAGACAGGGCGGGCGGCCTTACCCTCTTTCCTGCTGGCATTCCGTGGTGCGTGGAGGGGCCTGCGTTTCGGATTATTATTCTCTGCGAAAGGACTGTATCTATCATTTTGATGGCGCACACAAATATATAAGCACACGCGAATTTGCACGCATGGCTGGACACACGCTTCAAACAAGTCGGAAAAAGCAGGCGCTGTTGTGCATCGGGGTGCTGCTGGCTGTGGTGTGTGCTGTAGGTGTGTGCATTTTTGTGTACAAGCACATGGATGGGGGCGCTTTGAGCGGGGCATATGGAAAGGAGCAGGCGCTCTTGGGGGCGGGTGCAGGGGAGAGCCAGGATTCAAAGGCAGCCTTGCACGAGCTAGTAGAATGCTTGTATGCAGGGGACGGGCAGAATGCAGCGCGGTTCTGGGCAGACATAACAAAGCAAACAAAGAGCTTGGAGAATGCAGAAAAAAAGCAGGTGGAGACAGAAAGAACGCATCCCATGTCTTTCATGATGGCGGTGTTTTGCGTAGTGGGGGTGTGGAATGGAGAGAGATTGGGTTCGGAGAAAAAAGGCACTTCCAGCTTGCTGGCAGCCTTAGAAGAGCCGACAGAAAGGCTTGGCGCAGATGCAGTGCAACCCGCAGAGCAGATAGAGACAGAGCGACCTTGCAATGCGAAGTTGGAGGCATGCATACGCAGGCTGGTAGAATGCATTGAAGAAGAGCAAAGGAAAAACACAAAGCAGGTTGGTGTAAACTATGGCGTCAAAATGCAAGGCATGGGGCAGGTGGAGAGCGAGGGGGCGCAGCGTGCGGAAGAGCCCGGTTCTGCTAAGAGAAAGCGTGCAAAGCCTGTGAGCGGCCTACACGGGCATAGTGAGCGCTTGGGGCTAGAAAAAACACAGGCTGTGCCAGAGGAGGAAAGCAAGGAGGAGGCCTCTGTTGAAACAGAGAGCGAGGGCCTGTGCAAGAAGAAGCTGTGTCGTGAGACCTTGGTTTAAAGGCGTGGGCAGGTGGATTGCAGGGGGCGTGTGCAGAGCTGGCAAGGTTTGCTTGGGAGTGAAGGCTCCAGGAGAAGAGGGCCAGGCTTTTCAAGCGTAAGTAAACTTCTTTCCTCTTTTTTTCTTTTTTTCTTTCCATTGTTCATTCATTCTTTTGTTGCTCGGAGAGATGTCTGCGGCACACTGCTGGGGGTGCGTACAGAAAGGCGCTGGTGGAGGGCACGGGCACGTTAAAGGGCGCTGCTTGCTGACAGCATGGCTGCTCGTGGCTGGTTTCTGTTTATGCTGGCTTGGCAGAGGCCATGCAAGACTATGAAAAATTAAGTGCATAGGCAAGTATTTAAGAAGGCCGGGTTTATGGACAAAAGACAACTTTTCACTAGCACTTCAAGTGTTGCAACCAGGTGTCTGGCATGGGGAGAGGTGGGCCGCGTGGAAGAGGCCGAAGGCTGAAATCCAGTCGAGAGAAGTTTTATTTTCTTTGCAGGGCCGGAAGGAAAGTTAGAATTTGGGCGATTCTATTTTTGGCACAAGTTGTATAAAAGCGCAGTGCGTATATACTGCTAAGAACAAGCGGCAATCGAGCGCATGGGCGCAGCGGCTATTCATTCTGGTTTATGAAACGATGGAGTATGTCCATCATGCCGTTTAACACCTCTTCTCCGCTGAGCGTCTGCAGCAGGGCGCTCCGGTGGGTGTTCAGACCCACCAGCATGGCAGAAGCTGTTTGGCTGTTGATATAAAGCCTGTGTTTGGCGTCATTGTATGCCTGGATCGATCTTGGCCCAACCCTGCTGCCCAGAGCAAGCACCAGCTCGGGCGGGGTGTCTCTGTCTTTCAAGCTGGCGAGGAATAGGAGGAGGTCGAAGAGCGCCTTGGCATTCAGTGCATCCTCCCGGTCTTTCTCCTCCACATCTATAATAAGCGCGCCAATTTCGTCTGTGTGGTGCGTTGACTTGTCTGCGAGAAAAAGGGGAAACAAGAAGTCAGAGATGATGGTAGAGATTCTTAGTTCGCAGCGCTCAAAAAGAGGCCCGCGCCCCTGCTCTTTGTATTCTCTAAAGTACTTCATGATGGCGTTTGCTGCGGGTGCGAAGTTGTCTCCGATGTAGTCCCCTATTTCGATAACAGTGGATGAGATTCGATAGATTAGACCAAATCTTTCCTTTGCCAGGCTGATTTTTGGAAATAGCTCGCGCTGCATGCCTAGGCATACTGGGTACTGCAGCACATCCATTTGTGTTTCATAGTCGTCCAGCGGAAGGCTGCCGAGCAGGTTCGAGAGGAGGCGCACGCCCGGGTGCTCCTGGGTGAGCTTGATGCCTTTTGCTACTGCATGCAGGGTGAAGTGCTCGGCAATGTCTTGTATCTGTTTGTATCTCAGGGCGCTCCCGAGCAAGAAAAGCTGGTTTGGGTGCGCAGAGGCCCCGCTTGTCACCAGGCGGCCTGCAATCTCTTTAATATGTTTAGAAAGCCTGTCTCCATGAGGGTCCGCGCCCCTGGCCCTCCATGCGTTTGCGTAGCCGGCAAACACGCACTCAGCAAAGGTCCTGGGGTATGGACAGTCGCTCACCGCAAAGAAAGCCTCTTCTTCACCACTGGCAGAGGAAAGGAAGGTGCACGGGCACAGGGTGACTATTAGATGCCTGGGCTGAAAGGCAAGGCGTATTCCCTGCTTTTTGATTCTGTATTTGTCTGTGTAATTCAGGGTGATTTCTCCGTAGAGATCTTTCCGCTTATCGCTCCGGGCGTCGACCTTCAAGCCGGAGAATTCGACTTTTAAGCTCTTATCTACAGAGAGAGACTCGAAAAGCTTTTCCACGTATTCCTGTGTTTTTTCAATCACGTCCTCAGAGGCTTTGCCAATCTCGGAGTCTTCTAGCGCCAGTTCAAGCTCGCGTATTCTCGGCTCCTCCTTCTGCCTGCCTGCTGCCTCTGCGACAACGTAGAGCACGTTGAGGATTCCGGAGCGCACCTCGTTTCTGCTTTCTGTCCCGTACGCGATGTGCTCGCTCTGCAGGTCAGACACGACGCGGTTCCACTCCTGCATTATGTCTTGAGTGGCGCATTGTTTTGGGCTGACGCCCTTCAACTGGAAGAAACTGCGCAGGGCCTCTGTTTTCTCACACTCCTTTTCCTCACTGAGCATGGCGCCCACGTTGTACTTTTTCTGGACTGGGTCGTGGGCAAGGCAGCAGAAGAGCGCAAATAGGCCTGTCTCCACGCAGTTGCTGAAGGTTTCGTCCAAAAGCTCGGGGTGGCCTCTCTTGCAGGCATGCACGCTTGTGTACGCCGGCAGCATGTTTGGGCTGGCGAACGGGAACGACTCCAGATTCTTCATGACTTTCTGAATATGCACAAGCGGGCGCGTAACCTTGTCTTCTTCAGCCTTTGCCTTGCTCTCCACAAAGCACGTGCTATATACGTCTTTGCAGCTGTCTTCTGGCAGGCTTGTGAGGATGGCGTGCATGCACGCTGCGAAGTCCAGGGCGTCGCTCTTGCTCGTGATGTACTCAAAGACGTACGCCTGGATGAGGAACTGCGGCGTGTTTAGAAAGTCGCCGGTGCTGAAGGCCTCTAGCGTGTCCGGCAGCTTTCCTTTGCCTTTGTTCTCTTTGAAGAAGTTTATGACCTGTGCAGCCTTTTTGCTCGCCTTTGTCTCAAATGCTATGCTGCCTATATCCAGTGCTATTTCTTTCTGTTTGGCCTTAATGGGCACGTCCACGCCCTCGCTCAGCAGAAGGAGCGCGGCCAGCACGTAGTGCGCGTGTTGTTTGGTGGGCATCCCCTGCAGAAACTGGAAGAAGGAGTCCTCTCGGGCAACAGCGACCGACAGAGTGTGCCCGTCTGTCGACGGAAACATCTCGATGAGCACGCGGTGGTACTCCACTGAGTAGTTTTTGCCAGCAGGCTTGGAGCCCAGAGCGGGCCCCTTCGCAGACAGATAGGGTTTGTCCTTCTGCGCTTTTCTTGTGTATTTGTGCTTCCATGTTTTTTCAACATCTCCAACGGGCTCCACTTTGTAGTCGGTTTCTATTTCAGGAGCAAAGAAGCGCTTGTTGTGTGTGTAGCCCTGCTCGGAGTACACGAACCCGCGCAGCAGGCAGATCGGCCCGCTCGGGTTGATGAAGGCGGTACTCTCTCCTATTTCAGTGCTTTGCATCTCCATGACCTCGCCAAACGACACTCGCGCGTGCGCGCAGTGCGCCAGCGCTGCAATTGCAAGTGCATAAAATTTTGCGTACACGAACAGGGAAGTTGTAATACTGTCATAAAGCCGGGGCATATTTGAGGCAGAGTCTAATGCCAGGTCCAGTAAAGATTTATTAACGATTGGAGACCCTCGGCTTTCGATTATCGATTGACTTAACGGTGTGTTTTTCTTATATTTATGCATCGTGAATTGAACTTGCTCGCGCATTTATACTTTTCGCAACTCGTAGTGATCTCAATTTCTTCGTGTCCATATCAAAAGCGTCAATCATGATCTTGGCTGTCTCCGATCGTGTGGGGATTCCAATAATTCACCACAAAATACGGGAAGTAACCATGTCAAACATTGTCCTTTACTATTTCTCGGCCTGCATATATAGACACTGTATAATATATCCCTTAGCTCGGATTATGTAGCCCCTTGATTGGGCTGTCTAAGCAATAACCAATTATGAGCAACTGTGCTTTCAGCATACAACAGGATACAAACGGGTTTTATATGCGTTGCATACGCCCTCTGCCCGGGCAGGCTGGCCTATCAGAGGAGGCGCATCGCGCAGGGCGGCGGCTGCATGTATCTGGCCAGATTATCAAGATGATGGCGCAATAACTACCTAGATTCCTCTGAAAAGTGTGCACGTTGCCCGAATAAAGCCGGGTGCTGTTTAGAAAAATGAGAAACAAATTTATAGTTGGTGGACACACAGCGCGAATTGAGCATGGGTCAAGCATGCGAAAACAAAGGGCCGTGCTTCACATGGACACTCCTGCATTGCAGCCTGCCTGTTGGGTGCTGCGATGTGCCCAGCTGTTGGGGTGCAGGCGTTTCCAGAGCCTTTTGCAATGTTTGCAAAATTTAGAATAACGTGCGGCGAGGTCTACTGTGTTCCACACCAGCAGAACTGGAAGGGGGCTTATTTTATTTTTGCTTAAATTACAGCATAACCACCTGGGCGGGTTTGAGCATGCACAGGCGTTCAAGATGCGCGAATGCAAGCCAAATTAAAGTCTACAGCCGGCATCTCCAAAAACGGATTGCTGCATGCTGAAAGCATAGTTGCTTGTGCTTGGCTATTTCCAAGGCAGGCGCAGTGAAAGGGCTTGCAATTTAGACGTATGGGGCCGGCTAGAAAATGCATAGGTTTGAGCAGGTCGAAAAGAATAAAGAACAAAGTTTCACTAGCACATCCAGTATTGCAGCTGTGGCTTTTGTATTTGCTTGTTGACAGCGCCCATTGGCAGGGTCTTCTTTTGCGCAGCTGCAGGCTGTTTCAGTAGTCGTACTGCAGGAAAAAGAAGAAAAATAAAGTAAACAAAATGTAGTGTTCTGGAGAGGTTGGAAGGAAAAAAGCAGAATGAAGGATTTATTTTTGGAGTGTTATGATGGTATAGTATAGAAACGAGAAGAAAGACAGAAGCAGAGAGAATGTGTAGGAGAAGGCAGGAAAGGACAGTTTGATGCAGAAAAGAGAGAAGGCAAAGGGCGAGGCAGAGAAGTGCAAAGAAAGGCCTGGCAGGGGCTGTGGCACAGAGAGAGCCCATGCGTTTAATCATGTGCAAAAAGTGCGTGCATATTGTATAAGCTGCCCGTGCACACGCCTGCGTTTTGTTTTTGTTGCCAGCAGGCTTGGGCCCCAGAGCGCGCAGCGCTTTTCTAGCTCTAAGAAGCGGCTTTTGCCCGCTTGGGAGTTTGGCAGCTTTTTTATTTTTCCCATGATCAGCTGATTTCTGGGCAGAATTTAAACGAAAAAGCAATTTTACCAGAGATGAGATTGTTATTTAGTTTTCTATGTGTGCTGCTCGCAGCAGGGCAGGCGGCAAGATGCAGACCCATGACGTTCAAAGAGATGCTGGCGTGCAAAAGCAGGCCTGTGGGTCGCGTGCGTGGGGAAGACGTGTATGTGAGCCCGGAGTGGGTGGGGCACCCGGTGTGTGTGTCCAGGCTTGTCTGGCTGGGGTACGTGTACAACATGCGGAGGTACTCGTGCGGGCTGGACACGAGCTTCAGCCTGGTGCCGAGCGGGCGAGTAGACAAATACGGAGGAGAGGTGTACACATATGTGCGAGAGCCGGAGAGGGACAGGGCCCACCTTCCCGATGGCATTGCGAGCACAGTGGCGTTTGCAGGAGACGAAGGGTACAGCATGCAGTTCCACCGGGCGCTTGTGTATATGTTTGGTCTACAGAAGAAGGGGGGCCTGACGGTTGAAACTGGGCGGCCGTGCTCTTTCACAGAGTTTCTCCGAGAGAGCTGCAGAACAAAAAAAGAGGCGCACTACGTGCTGGCTGCGCTGGTCCTGCTGAGCGAGGGCGTTGACGTGCCGATTCGGACCGCTGGGAACAGAGTGATTATAAAAAAAAGAAAAGACAGCGAGGAGGCACTGGTGGACGCGTGCGTGCCAGCCGTGGACAGTGGAGAAAGACAGCCATCCGAGACGTGGCAGGTGGTGAACTTCTTCAAGCGGTACAGAGGCACATACATACTGCCAGGCACATACGGAGAGTTTAAAAC